GCCAGAGAGGAGCTCCTTTATTGGTTATCCAGTTTTGTCTTGTTTTTTTTTTTGTTTTGTTTTGTTTTGTTTTTGTTTTTGTTTTGTTTTTTGTCTTGTTTTTGTAAATGTGAGTCCTGGAAATCAAACTCAGGTCCTCATGCTTGAGCGGCAAACACTTCACTTAGTGAGGTAACTTCCCAGGCCCAAGGGAAGGCATTTTAATCACTGTCTTATTATAAAAGAATCTCTGTGATTAGGTATCATGAGCCACACCTTTAATCCCAGCACTAAGAAGGCAATGGCTGGTGACTCTCTCTGTGAGTTCATGCTTAGCCTGGTCTACATAATGAAACACTGTGTCATCCCCCACCCCATCCCCCAAACCCATCCCCCGTGCACCCTCCTCCCCCTCCCCCCGCCACCCCAAAAAAAAATCACTGTGTCTGAATGTGGAAAACACCTTGAAAGGCTGTGGTGGGTCAAAAGCAGCCATTGGAAAGTGACTGTGAAAGGTGATAGTGGGTCAGATTGTACATCTGCAGTGACAGAGAGGAGATATTTAGGAGGTAAAATCAGCAGGACTTGGTGCTGGGTTGGATTTGAGACATGAGGGTTAGGGAGGGATCAGGGATCAACTTTTGGCAATGAAAGACTTCCCCCGTGAAGCCTCAATGAGAAAGGGGCCAGAGTTCCAGAAAACTCCAGTATCTGAAAGATGAGTCAATAGATGCTCCACTCAAACGGGTCACCTATGGAGAAGGCCAAAGCTTAGAAGAGAGTCAGAGTCTGTGGGACAAGCCAGTCTCTGGAGAGATCAAGTTCCTTCAGTGCTCTCTGCTGCATAATATCACAGTCTGAAAGTCAGTCAGTTACACTCACACACATCCTGGTCCCTCTACCGGAAGGGCAAGGAATTGACATGTCAGCTAGAAAACTTCACGTGAGCTGCCAGGCATTGCCACAGCAAAGCTGACTCATCTCTGGAATGGCTGCTTTCTCTCCCACACTCCAACAACCTGACACCACATACAGGAGGAGAATAGAACATAATTAAGACCGTTAGGCCTGATGTATAGCTTTTAAATATTCAGACACACAATATACAGAACCACAGCTGTATGCTTCTCTCTGTAAAATTGGGGTTGGGGAGGGGTTGGCTGTCACCACTCCCACACACTGCAGTCCTTTCATCACACTATGTCTGTGTACAGCTCCTGGCCATATTAAAATGTTCTCCTATGCCCGCAGTCATTTCTCAACACTTAATTGGAAAGGTTCTGCCTTGCGGTGCTGTTGGGAGATGGCCCCTTCGGCCTCTGCTCTTTTTGTCTGGGACCTCACTGCTACTCTGTGGGAGTGGATGAGATCCTGGATAAATGTGTGCTGTTGATGTGACCATAGCCGTGTCAAGGACACCAGTGCCTCAAACCCATGGGAATGACAAAGCCTTCCCTTTGTCCTTGTGCAGATGTTGATAGTGTGTGCAGAAAGGTATGGGCTCCAGCTTCCTTCTACCCAATGTTTACAGCCGAGAAAGCTCCCCTACAGAGATCTCCTACCAGGATAAGCTAAACCTGCCTCCTCGTTCAGATATATATATATCTGAACCTCCTCAATTCAGATGTATAAAATAAATGCACCAAGTTTCTGGGCTGCTGCTGGTGTGTCTCCATCAAAGCATACAGCCTGCCTGACCTCAGCTTTTCTGTACATATGTCTATCTGTCTGTATGTCTGTCTGTCCTTTCTTCATTCCCTCATTGCTCCAGTCAGGTCAACCCTACAGCCGTTTGGGTCTTGACATGCTCTCTGCGGAAACCATCCTCAACTCGGCATCTGTGTCAAGCTCCATCCAGTAGAGTGGAGCCCAGAGGTAGTTTCCTCAGCACCATCCTCCCAGGAACTGTATAGTGATATCAAGATGAGACACCTACTGAACAGCTGATCTGCCCTCCAGGGTGACCAACATTCCAGTTTGCCCAAGACGGGGCGCTGCTCCCAGCATGCAGACCTTCAGCACTGAAACTGACACGGTTCTAGGCAAACTGGGATGGATGTTTGGTCACTGTAATGGGAAGTCTCTCTAGAAAGGTGGGACTCAAGGGGAAGGAATTAGCAATCATAACAGAAGGAGAAGTAACTGGGGGAACTTAAATCAACGAGAAGCGAGGGGCCACAGAGAAATGTGCCCTGGCTCTCCAGGTCTGGGCTGGGAGGATAGAGGGGATAACCCCAGGGTTCACTTGCAGGTCCTACTGGAGTCCTTCAGTCAACTCACATGGATCCATCCACTCCCGGTTCTCTGAAGGGCTGAGCACAAAAGGCTGCCCACACAAGGCATTTCCCCCAGAAGTTTGAAGAGTCCAAAGAGCTGGCCTTTCCAAGTCTTCTCAGTGTGGTGGATACCTGTGGGTTTTCCTGCTGAGCCCTTTCCTATTTTTAGGAGGAAAGCCCCTAAATTTCCTTCAGAAGCCACCCTTACCCTCTTCTTCAGCAGCCCCACTTTACAAACATATCTGAAATCAGGATCAGGTGATTGGGGCCAGAGAGGGATCTCACCAAGAACCTTTCTGGTGAGACAGAAACAGTTTTTCGCCATAAGGAAAGGACAGACAGTCTAGTGTTATAAGATCAACAACATAACTGAATATAGATTGAAGGTCCCGTAAGAGTATAACGGAGCTGAAAAAGTCTTAGCACTTAATGACGACACAGTGGCCATCAGAAAGACCATCAAAGCCCAGTGCTATTCAGGAGCTTTCGGTGAATCTGGTACAAGCACACCTACATCACTGCCACCTGTGTAAAAACAGCCACGCAATTCTGTGTGGTACACAATACTTGATAGTGGTCATAAAGTACTGGATCAGTTACTTTTCTCATCACATGGCCACATGATACTTGACAGACTCAAGGAAGGGGGATTTACTTTGCCCTACAAGTTCAAGGGCTAGGATCTGCCGTCGTCAAAGGGAAGACATGGGAACTGACGGGTGGTTTGTCCATATCTTTGTGGATCAGGTAGCAGAAAGGTCTCAACTGAAAACAGTTCTCAAAGGCCCACTCCCAGGAGCCCACCTTGGCAAGCCAGGCCCCACAATCTCTTGAAATGACACCACCAGCTGCAGACCATGAACCTATGGAGGACACTGGATTCAAACAGTAACAGCTGTGTTACTGATCTATACATCCACTACACTATACTTCCTATGGTTATTTTGGAGTGTGTTTGTGTGTGTTAAAGTTGTATATACCAGTAAGGCCAGCAACAGCCCTCATACATCTCATGTTCACCATTTTTCTCCATTGCATCAAGAGGCCACATCCAGCAATCAACCTACGCTATCTAATTTTGTGCGAGTAGGAAGTTCATACAAGAAGTTTGCCTAATGACATATCTGAGATTATCCCATCCTTAAGTGACACAAACCATCACAGGCTTTGAGCAGAGCTGGATTCAAGGCCTCACACAGCGATATTCTCACTCGATCTCTGCCCCTCCTTCTCCTGCATATTTCCCTCTGGGTTGGCCTCAGTATAACACTGCTTCTCCCAGTTGATGGCAAAGATGTCTAGACTTAGCACAATAAAGCTCTCCAGCCCAAGAGAAAACATCCTTCAAAAGAAAAAGTAGGAGCTGGAAAAAAATGCCACAGTGGGTCATGCATTTGAAAGCCTGAATACCTGGATTCCGGCTCCAGAATCCACACTGGAAGGAGAGAGCTGACTCCTATGGTTGCCCTCTGCCTTCCACGCCAGTGCTAGGACATGCACATGCGCTGTGCTGCTGAGTTTTTCTGTCAACACAACCTAAAGTCACGTGGAGAGAGAGATCATAGAGAGAATTGCCTACATCAGACTGGGTTATGCACATGTCTTTGGGGCTCATCTTGCTTGATGATTGATGCGGGAGGGCCTGACACATTTCCGGAGGCACCATCCCTAGGCAGATGACTCTGGGCTGTGTAAGAAAGCTAGATGAGCCTGAGTGAGAAAGCAAGCCCATAGGAAGCATTCCTCCATAGTTCCTGTATCCAGCTTCCTCTTTTGGATTCCTGCCCTGACTTCCCTCAATGATGGACTGTAACATATAAGCTAAAACAACCCTTTCCTTCCCTAAGTTGCTTTGGGTTATGTATTCTATCACAGCAACAGAAAGGAAATGCCCCATCACCGCCATCACCATACCATACACACAAATAACAAACGAAAATGATAATAATAGAGCTGTGTGTGGTCGCACATGCCTTTAATACAAGCACTTAGGAGGCAGAGGCAGATGGATCTCTTTGAGTACAAGGTCAGCCTGATCTACAAAGTGAGTTCTAGGTCAGCCAGAAATACATAGTGAGACCCTGTTTAAAAAATTTGAAACAAAAAATCTTTTTTTCCCCCACTCCAGCATAATGTGGCAGCACACACCTGTCATCCTAGGCCTCAGCATACTGAAGCAGGAAGACTGAGAACCAGAGGCCAGAGGATCAGGGAGTGTGCTGTGAGACTGTGTCTCCTAGCACTGTCAGAAGCTGCGCCCATAAAGTCTCACCAACGTGACTGCCTAAACAGGAGCCGAACAAGGACAACCCGGACAGTCGTGCCAAAGCTGGCGGGGGAAAGCCCACGAGGCTCAGCCCTGCACAGAGAACTGCAGACAAGTAAGGAAAGCTGGGAGTGGGAGAAATAGTCCTCGCCAGGGAAGAGCATGCCAACGCTCAACCAGTACCAAGGGGGTCAGCCCTGGAAACATACACACAAGTAACATTATACAGACTCAGCGGGTTATAGTTAGGGATGCATAGAACAACAATCAATGAAAAAAAAAGAGGCCATGAATTTGAAAGAGAGCAAGGAGGGGAATAGAGGAAGGTTTGGAGGGAGGGAAGGAGGGTGAAGTGATGTAATTATATTATAATCTCACACACATACACAAAAACAGACCTATAACAACAACAAAAGAGTCAGAGGCTGCAGAGTGAGATCCTGCCAACAACAACAACAATAATATTCAAAGAGATACTTCTACCCATCTCCTTGGAAACTGAATTCCAGCACAGCACTGCCAGCATCATAGCTGACCCTCAGTCTCTTCTAATTAAAGTGGTATAACGTCCTTTTAGGACATGTTGGAGAGGAGCTGGCCAGAATGGCACCAAACATTCAACATCAGCCAACTAATCCAGGCTCTGCGCCAGACGCTCTAATCTTTATTTAAGAGAATCTGGGGGAAAGGGTATTGCTTTCACTAATTACCGGATGCAGAGCCTGCAGGGCCCAAGCCGACGACTCCACTGTTCTAGGTGTTGAGAGTGTACTTAGAATTCAGATGGGAAGCCATGTTCATTTACTGAGCGATTCCTCAACTCCAGATATCAACTTCCCAGTGCACAAACTACACCCTTCCGAATTTCACTTTGTGTGGAAAAGACAACAGTGAACTTTCACATCCCCCCCTCTTCCACCTGATGGCACTAGTAATCCACAGATAAGAGGAAGCGCAGCAAGATGGACGGTGCAAGCAGTGTGGACAGTTACGAAGATCCACCCAGTTTCCAGGAGCTCTTACGGGTAAGAGAAACGTCTACTCTAAAGTACAGTAAGTATAAACTCAATAAAGCTGAAAAGTGGGCTAGTGCAGTTGCGTACACATGTGTGTCTGCTGTGTATTTAAAGAGCTAATACATGTACTTGGGAACATGTTTTTTACATGATACAATCATTCCATAGATGCCAGTGAATCTCTCTCTCTCTCTCTCTCTCTCTCTCTCTCTCTCTCTCTCTCCCTCTCTCTCTCTCTGTGTGTGTGTGAACTTGTGTGTGTGTATGTGTGTGTGTGTGTGAGTGAGTGAACTTGTATATTATCCTTTTTTCAGACTGTAACACTGCACACATCACTCTGTATTGTTTCTTTAAAATAGAATGTGGGAACATTCCATCCATCTTGTTCTTTCAATAGCTGCCTAATGTGTAATTGTGTGATGAATATGTAACTAGTTTCCTAATGGTGAGCATTTGTTTTCAATCTTTTGCTTTTGTTTATGCATTTTAGATAGATTTTTATAGCAAATATTAGAAACAAACTGGGGGAAAGGTTTTCTGTTTCTCATTTAAACAAAGTCCTGCTAGACAAAATCCCATTCCATTATGAGCTTTCTTGGTGGTTTGCATGAGTTCAAATTCTGAGTTCTCAAAGCTTTTCAGAATTCTGCTCTATATCTTAAATGCCAGTTAAACAAAAGCCCGTGTCTTCAGGAACTTTCTTGCTTAAACAAATGCCATGGTGGAAGGGAAGAATAGTATACGATTGAACCCGAGGAGGCAGGGCAAAAATTGAACTAGAAGCAAAAACATCTCCCTGTGGCACCTCCACTTGGCTGCGTACCCCTCTCCGGTCATCTTTGTATGTTCTCTCTGTGCTGATGAGCCGCTTCTGCTCTCTCAAGCTGTAGGTGGAAGACGCGGTCCAGTGGTTCCCCAGCAAGGGAATGTTTCCGACTGCCATGCCCCCATGCGAGGATAGGTTCCTGCACGGTCAGGAGTTAGCCTCTGGTCCAATGAGCTCTAACTGTAGTCAGAGCCCAACAGCGGAAGATGGCTGCAGAGACTCCACCCACGGGCGAACCTCACGCTGGAAAAGGCTCTCAAGTGCCCCCTGGTGGCCCTACAAAGACAAGAGGTTTATGAAAACGCTGTTTAAAAAAACAACAAAAAACGCTGCAGGATCCTGGGAGATCGGCCACAATGGCTTCAACTTGGCTGCCTAGCTTCCGGGCTGGAGTCCCCCAGGACAGATGTCCCTGGACAGTTCGTCTGCTTGACTTAGATGCGGGCTAGTGTGTGAACGACGGCAGCATTTTGCCTTGATTTGTGAGTTAGGTGAGGTGGAGCGATAGGAGGTGTGAATTTGTGTAACTATAAATGGTGCCTCGGCATTTAGCCGTCCAAAGCAGACCGGAAGAGTAACCTTATTCAGTATTCATTTCACTTTGATGTGTTGTAAACATGCTGGGGTTTTTTGTTTTGTTGTGTTTTGTTTTGTTTTGAAAGAAAGTTAGGGCCCGGAGTGGTGGTGCACGCCTTAAATCCCAGACTTGAGGATCCTTGTGAGATCTAGGACAGCTTGGTCTATATAGGAAGATCCAAGAAAGCCAGGGTTACATAGAGACCCTCCAGAGGCAGGCAGGTCTTTGTGAGTTCGAGGCCAGCCTAGTCTACTGAGCGAGATCCAGGAAAGGCGCAAAGCTACACAGAGAAACCCTGTCTCGAAAAACCAAGAAAGGAAGGGAGGGAGGGAGGGAGGGAGG